CACACAGGTGACATCAGGTGATTTGGTGGTTGAGTTGTCATGTTTGAGCAACACGATCTTCACGCTCAACATGACCCACCAATCAGGCATCAGACCTGCAGCAGAATTGGTATCGTTGTTCTGCGAATGCAATACTACAGATAATAAAGTGAGAGCAATTTGCTCCAAAATTGTCAATGGTTAGTTGATTACTGTTGATTAAGCAGTCGGTTTATTACAAATCTAAACTATAGTTGTGCATTTTGATTTATAAAAAGTATCAATGTTACTGGCATTATACATGTATCTGCGACCATTTGATTGTATTTAGACTTTGTATAAAGCAATTTTCCCATTTACCACAATATCATTATTGTATTTGTTATTCATTGCGAATGAAATTGTATACTATTCTAATAGAAAATAATGCTTTGTTTTTACAGCCATATTGATGTCGAATGAACCACTAAATAACAGTGCCAATGTGTGATAAACAGTCAGTGTCATGAACTGGTTAACAATACAATGGTATTGTTGGTGGTGATTGACATGCAAACAACAGTTGCATTACTGATGTCATGATTATTGTTGAACTAGACTGCGATCGTATCCGTGATTCAGAATACAACAAATGTGTGTGCAGAGTTGTATTGGCAATATTGACAGTAAAACACAGCATATGAATGTGGGTTCAAACTTGGTGATTGTATAATGTATGATTACTAAGAGTGCACAATGTATAGATTCAACATTATAGTCTGATTGTGTCATATGATGGTTGTTGTATATCAAACACGCAATGCAGTCAATGTGTAGTAACCATTGTATATCTCAAATCAAAGTCATTGCATGATGAATACCAAAGCGATCCATTTGACATGAATACGGTTGTAAAAAGGAGCGTTTGCGGTTATACAACACTATTGGAGGGTGTGCTTTTCAATATACCTGATCAAAGGGTCATAAAAGCATAATTTAATCGACATGAACATCAAATCGATCAATATGATATTGTGATTATGGAGCAGCATACTGTGCTTTGATATTGGCTCATTAAAAGCAATCAAGTAACCCTGTATAGTCGGTTAACCTAAAAGGGTTGGTTTGCTATACAAAACATATAAATACAATCGATTACACTCAATCTTATAATCAATATCAGTCTCAACACTCTATTTTTGTATTAATAGTTTAAACTATTCATCGGCTTAATGAGATTGGTTGACATTTTATTCGTACTGACTGCGGCAACAACCGTTAATGCAATGCTGATCCCGACTGATACCGATGGTTCACCCAAAGCATCAAGCACTTCTAGTCAAGCGTTTGGTCCGACTGATAAGCCCAGTCCAGAGATTCCTGACGAAGACTGGCAAGAAATAATAGGTATAATTAGTTCAAAAATTTATCGCCATGGCCAACATCAACCAATTGATGTAGTTGATCCAAGTACTTCCAAACGAGGTCGAAAACGACCAGCTGATCAACCCAGTCCAAACACTCCTAAACGAAGTCGAAAACGACCAGCTGATCAACCCAGTCCAAGCACTTCCAGCCAAGACCAGCAACAACCAATGGACCAACCCATTCCAAACACTTCTGATGAATATTGGAAATCCATAATGAATGAAATCCGTTTAACCACTCCTGAAGACTGGAAAGAAATAGTTGATGCAGTCAATTCACAAATCTATGACCAAGACCAGCAACAAACAATTGATGTAGTTGATCCGAGCACTCCTAAACGAGGTCGAAAACGACCAATTGATGTAGTTGATCCAAACACTTCCAAACGAGGTCGAAAACGGCCAGCTGATCAACCCAGTCCAAGCACTTCCAGACAAGACCAGCAACAACCAATGGACCAACCCATTCCAAGTACTTCCAGACAAGACCAGCAACAACCAATGAACGAAGACGAGTCTGCCAATACTGTTCCAAATCAAGTGACTGTATTAAGCCAAAGATATCAGAGAACCTTTAATCGTATAAAACAAAGGTTTGAATTGTCTAAAATAGTACAAAAGAAAAAACGCAAAGAATATCGTGAATATGCAAACCTCAAATTCAGTCAGCAGTTAGCGTTAGCAATGGGCAAAGAAATATCTGAACCAATGCACAATCCGGACACTGAAAAGCGATTGAAAGAAAAGTATGTAGTGGCAAGGAGAAAATTATCTAGTGCCAAAAAACAATTGAAAAACTATATGGCAAAGCATGGCTTAGAATCTCAAGAGCCGAAAGTAGATTCAGATTGATGGTTTGTCGATGATTTTGATTTTGAATAAATTTAAACTTTTTGATATGTTGATATTTGTCGAGTATTGTGAATGGGTCAACAACCATATCATTGATTTTATATTTCATGTTTGTGTATACTGTGTTGGGTATTACATCAACAGTTACTGGATTGTTGATTGATATATTGACATGGTTTGTTTCATATACATCAATGACCTGATAACAACCAGTGTTATTTGCAAGGATAGCATATTCATAGATACTTTCAACAATATACTTTGAATTATGACGTTTCATGCATTCAATAATATCATTTCCGTCAATCAGATCCAAAACAATGTCAATATCCATATTAATCATGTGTTGATTGTTACCATTAAACAATAATGTATTATCTGAAATATTAAATTGAATTGTTTTTTCAGTCTACATTTTGCAACATATACCCAAATTGAATATCAAGCCAATATCCAATGTTTTGATTGGTGATTTTTCTGCTATATTTTGCATCAACTCCTCCACATTGGTGAGCATGTGTCTTGCACTGTATTGTTTTGTATTTTGGGTGGAAAGGATGTTTGTTGATATGTCTATTAAACTGTCGCTTTAACTTGCCTGCTTGGTTCGAATGCTCTATTTGTAGTTGAATCAGTTGCTTGTACGCCTTTGTTGGTTCAACTCGACTCCTGAATCCTTGGATACGTTTTGTAAACCGCAGTTTGACTTTGACGAGTTTAACATCAATGTTCACCGTTGATCCAATCATTTTCATGATATTGTTATTGGGGTTTTCCTAATGGCAACAATAAATCAACGACAAGACTCAATCCGAGCATCTCGTAATGGACTCTGTGTGAGCCAATCGAACCACTATTTTCGTCCAAATCAGAATTACTTTGTAACAGGTTTCCAACAGGTTTCCAACATTTCCAACATTTTCAACGAGTTTAAACAATAATAGAAAATAAATCCAATCCAATTGTTTGTTGATACCATTCCAAAATGTATTTTCTTGGGTTTATTCAAAACCACTTCAATGCCATTACACATCACAAGCACATCCTTAAGATCCAAGTATCTACAAACTTTGATCGTGAACTCGGTCTTGATCAAACCTAAAAACGGTCAAAAGTATTATGTTGTTGAACGAAATCTAATCAACCATCTTGTAAAAGTAGCAACCCACTATTTGTGCAATGATATTGAACCTATTACTCATGAAAACATACCTCGATATATGCTCAAGTCGGACAACCCAATCAAAGTGGATCCCAACAAACTCTTGAAATCAAACATTCAATTCCTTGATGAAAAGTATCATTCAAAATCAATACAAGCCACTTTATCATTGAATCAATGAGTTGCTGAACGAGAGTTACTACGAGACATTATATTGTATGTATATTTTACATTCTGGCTTAGTACTTTGATCAAAAGTCATCATCACACTGTAACGGACGCTCAGATCAATGTAGACCGAATGGCTCATCATGTATTTAGCGATTTAGATGTTCTTGGTAAAGTGATGGTAAAACAGCACACATTACAGCATAAATTGTATCAAATGGTAATGAGTGCCGATGTAGACGCCAAATATGTTGAATATATCATACTATGAATCCGTAATCTTGATGGAACCCAGCACCATTTCTCGAGTCAAGCAAATGCTGGAAAAATACATCCAGTTCATCGTTTGCCATATTGACACTTGACTTGTTGTATCTGATATTCCAAATCTACCGCATCCAGTGGTATTGTTGGTGAATCATCAATTACATTCAATGTTTGATAGTTATTGTGGTATTATTTTCAAACGATTTGCTGATTTGAGGTAGCCAGTAAGTTATCATGATTGTATTGTTTGGATTTTGGCAAATATTGATTATTTTCAATAACCATTGACTATTTCCTATTTTGAATACTGGTATCTGGCCATGGGATATGATGACAAATGACTTTAATGTGCCCAATTTCAATTCTGATTCTGATTTTGATTGTGATTCCTGTTTTCATGCAATTGGTCAACGATTTTGAACATTCATTTCCGTCAACCCAGAATACATTACATCCAGTTTTGAAACAAGTCTTCAAACAAGGGTTTGATGCAAGTTATGTACAATAGTCACATCCTGTTGTTCTGGATTTGCAATTCTTGTCATGGTTGTGTTTTGTCTACAGAAGTACTGATGCTTTACAATTATCATGCTCACAATTAATCATTTGTGATTTGATGGTTCTTTCCAGCATCATGTTGTGTAAAACTCGGACAGTCCTACAAATCGGACAGTTCCACTGGGTTCAAGATATACAGGATATACAAAGTGATTGGCATCCTGACATTGAATCAAAAGTGTTGTAACAACTTCATGGCAAATGGAGCAAGTGAGTGTTTGATGGAGTTGGTAGCTTACATGGATTTCATTGATTGTGATTTATAATAATCGTACAGAAAATATAATATTGTATTTTGACTATTATTGATTGACATAATGTTTGATGTTGGACGATACAATCGATACAGTCGATACACAGATTGAAAGAAAGTTGTTCATTCAGAGTAGATTAACAAGTGATTTCCACAACGATGGACATGATTGACATGATACCGAGTTGTCCCACCACAGTGTAAAAAGACTGCACTATCAGTTCCACGATCATTGGTAGCAACATCATCATCACTGGAATCTGAATATGTCATCAATTGATGAGACATTGTTGGTTGACAAACTGTCTCACTGCAATGGAAAGAGACATTTGAGTTGCTTTCATTATTGCTTGAATTCAAAGGTGTCAGCATCAACTGTTGGTATTCACACTCACTACAATGACAACTATTGCTGTAACAGAAACCAGTCTCTTGTAATGAATACACAATTTTATTGAACATTTTCAATAATCAAAGTAGCACTCGATTCCATCCATTTCTCGATGCTCTTACTCTGGTAATCTACAGGAGTACAGCCATCATCATCATATGGACAACATCATCATCAGATTCTACACCACCAGTCATACACCAAATGAGACATGCTGTCTTGTGGAACTCTAGTGCGTTCCTGTTTGGTAGTCGAGTGAGATTGTTGTGAATGAAATACAATGTCATTTCACTGTTGGATTCGACTGTTTGTCGATTGTCAATCCATCTCTTTTGCCTTGTTCTGCGGATAACTTTCAAATCTTCAATTGTCTCAATCCACTTCTTGTGCTTGTCACTTGTCAGATCATTCGTCTCATTGATCACTTTGATCACCAGTTTGTCATCCACTACATCCACATATTGCTTTAGTTTACCAAACTGGTCATGGCACTTGATACACAACAACAGTCCGTTCTGTATTTGATGTTTCTGTGTCAAACCAGATCGTAGCAATATGGATGGTTTGTTGTATGCCATTCCAATGTTCTTTTGGGATATGATGTGTGCTCCTTCAGATTCTTCATTGTCCCAGCAAAACAAGCAGACACTGTCTCTCTTCTCAACCACCTTGTTCAAGTTTTTGTGCTGTAGCTCACTCACTTTTGCAACATAGTCCAGATCATCAGCAGAGTTGTTTCTTGATGTTGGGTTTGATGAAACTGGGGTGACAGCTGGATGAATCGTTGTAGTCTTTGTGGAATGGCAGTATGTAATACCCAAACATGTCATCAATGAATGTACAATGATGTTTTGGGTCTGACAACTGGACCTTGGTTGAAAACTCCTGTTGCTCTGCAAATTGGTTGGCAGTCAGCAGGTTGTGCAGTCGAGTGATGTGTGAGGTTTCTCCCTCTTGGATGATTCCCAAAAACAAATCTCGTTTGTTGTCATCCTGCCATTCAGACTTGACTCTCTGTGTTGGTATGGCTTGAGTGCTGATTTGGTAGTATTCATTCAACAGTTGTGTTGTTGCTGTGTTTGTTGTTTCAATATTCATTTGTTGTTTTTTGACAAAAGAATGAAACTCGAACCAACCAAAATAATTGCAGTCAACAATCCAATTGGACAATATTCACCAATAATCTTTTAAACTCGTACAGTTTGTACAGTGTTGTCATAAAAGTCATGGTTTGACACATTTTCATCAAGTTATCAGTGAGTATCAGTGAATATCAACCAACAAAATTGGTCTTGTTGGTTGATATACTATTATAATGTAATCAATTGAGTTGAATTGACACTCGATTGAACAATACAAATAAACACAAAATTGTTTAAATATTCAAAGTGTGAATTTGTTTCATTCTTCACACAATATTAAATTTTGAATTCAAGTCGCTTTTTTTTCTTTCTTTTCTTTCACAATTGCAATGGAAAACAAAGTATTTTACATTCAATACCTTGACAATCAGTCAGTGAAAATCAATACTCATATTCTCAACACTAATACTTTTGTCTGGGTTCAAACCTTGTTTACTGTTGCTGAATTGGTTGCTGCTTACAAGACTGCCACCACTCCCCTCCTTGACAATATCCCTGTTGACGAGCTCACTCTCCATTATGTGGTGAATGGTCCAGCCATTGCTTGGAATGAACCCCTGGCCTCTATTCAACATTCAGTTGGTTGTTACGGCCATTCACTGATTATAAAATCAAGGAGTGGTGTGAATGTTGTAAAGTTTTCCAATCCAAACCAAATTCCTATGGGTGCCATTGATCTCTTGGAATGGCTTTCTGGGCCGAATGTTAATTCTACAGTTGATTTGACTGACAAACAAGTGCTATCTCAGCAGCAAACCAATCTTAATCAAAAAGTTGTATTTCCGCTGGCTGGTCGAGAGAAATCGCTCCAGCACATTGCATCATGCTTTATGGCCACCCATCAAGAGCGCAGCAATATTGATCGGAATTCAAGACGTATTCCTGTTTGTACTGGTATACCGGGATTGGGAAAAACTCGACTTATGACAGAGTGCTCTACCACAGTTTTAGACATGACAGGGATTCAAGGCAAAAGACTTTCGGCAATCGTTTCTTTTGGAAATGACGGGAATGCCTATGGCGAGATTGACAAGCTCCTTGGAATCAAATGTTCATTTGCCTGGAGGTTGCTCCATTCGGTTTTCAAGGCGCAATACAAGTTTGATGATTGGATGCGTAGAAAGTCACCAATAAACAGAAGCGGGCTCACAATGCAATTAGCTTTATCGACCATTGAGCTTTATTGGAGTCAGAAAACTCGAGACGACATACTTTTATTTGTCGGAGTCGACGAGTATCAAAAACTCGGTCAAGATGAACTGAGTTCTCTGCTGGATATCTTGTGTGCTTCTTCTTATCGTGCTAAAGTGTCAAGGCTTACATTTTTCTGTATGTTGGCGGGAACTGACCTGATCATGATTCGTATTGCTCAACCATCACATTCTAATATTGAGAGAACGCCAATCCGGTTTCTAACTCACATGGAATCAATGGAGGCCATTTGTCCTTTTATTTCGAATACACACTGTGGATTCGTGGTCAGCGAAGCCTTTGCTCGGAATGTCTTTTATCTAAGCGGAGTGTCAAGACTACTGACTGAGTTTGCAAAACAAGTTGTATCTATGAAACTGGCTGATCTAAACGAACACAATTTTCGGGAGGCAAGAATGGTTGCGCTTTCAAATTTGCAATATCCTCAATTGTCACTCGCTGATATTTTGAAGCTACTGGCGATTTCTTTTACAAACACTCCTGTTACATATCCACTAAACTGTCCGTTTTCTGAATCATCGCTACCTTCTGCAAGAGACCTTACTTGGAGTCAAATGGTTTCAAACGGGATGTGTCAAATTCAAGATGATGGTCAAGTGATTATACCGTTCCATATCGTTGTTCAGGCTTTGAAGAGGCCATTGAATGAAAGCGTCGGTCTAAACCAACTTGAAGCGGCACTCCTATCATCGTTGAATGGTTTGTCGCTTGACGTTGAATATCCATTTTCCAACATGACTCGTTGGTCATCATGGGAGTATTTTGGTGCTAGTTTCTACTGTATCAGAATCAACTCGTTTCTTGTATTGGGAATATCGATACTTTCTTTGTCTGATATACTGCATGGATCGCGGTTTGATTCAGGTATTTTCAATACTCAAGTTCACATCAGAATTGCTGAAGTTTTCCAATCAAACGAGCAATATGGACCTGATATGCCACGGATGATCACTCGGAAACACAACAGCTGTTGTCTCGTTGACTGGGTTGACGGCGAGACCTTGCAAATTGTGCTCAATGGTGAGAATGGACCAGGAGTGGATATATACTTTATTCTGAAACGCGCAAAAGACTCTGGCTATATCATAGTTTTGGATCAACGAAAACGACTTGGTTCTGATATTACAAACTCGGATCTGACCACTTTCCGATCAAAATTACCGAATCCGCCAGCATTTTTAAACGGGCTCAAGTTGGACTCTGTTTTTGGTCTGATGAGCATATATTCAGAGATCAACATTAACCATGTTCCAGATTCAACGTATTTTGTTTCTGCATCAAATTCTCTAGGTTTTCATGGTTCACTCTATGATCATCCAGGTTGTTCTATGGTCATTGATGTCAATTCTGCATTGAAAACCTCGATCAAACAAATATTCTGTGGTACCAATGATGATCAAACGGATTTGGCAAACAAGGTCATTGAACAGCGCTACAACAAACGCATT